AAACACTATTTCAGTAAAGAATAATTGACAGCAAAGTATATGCATATCATATAAGCAATGATTTTGCTTTTTTCATGTAAATCGCTTTAAGACTCACTATTATTTGACAATTATATAATGTTTTGTTTTGTAGTTTGATTTTAAACTCATATATTGTATACCAATAATGCAATAGAGCACTGATTTTTGTATGATATGAAATATTATACAAATATAGTCATATAAAGTCTCGTTTTAACGATTATTAGCACAACAAGAAATAGTCGGATAGTCGGTGTGACATAACATAAGGCATTATTACTGGTGTTATCTTCACTAATATTACAAGAAAACGTATGAAAATATATACTTATATTGAAATCTATTGTAAATGAAAGCAAACAAATAAAGCTAAAGATAGTGAACAGAGTTTCACTTTCTTTGTTTTAGTGAAGAGACTTTGTTTCGTCACAATCAGTAAAAGTGATTGAAATGGCATTTACTTTATGCCATCTATTCCTCTAATACTCTCTTATATAACTGATAACAACTGATAATAAATGGTTTTATTAATATTATATCAAAATATAATAATTACTATAGGTTTGACTTTAAATATACATTTCTTAACAGTTTGTTTGGTTTATTTAATTAATTAGTTTTTGGCATTTCTTGAAATTGTGTCACAAAATGCTTTCCTAACAATCATTTCATTTGATCTCATTCTCAATGTTATACAAGAATTGGGAAAAATCATTCAGATTTCAACCACTCTTTACATGCCATGACTTCTCGCACTAAATCAATGTCTAAATAACGTGTAAACAAAAACAAAACTAGTATTGAAAATATTTGTAGTCTTAATTGCAAACGCGTTATCGAGTCTATCGGAAGTGGTTTTGAATTTCCGAAATTAATTTGTTTGTCAAAAAGCAATACAGTATTGAAATGAATGGCAAAATGATGTTAAAAAAGTATTTGCCATTAATTAAAAAATGTGAGAAAAGCTGACAATAAGTGAAGTTTGAGTGGAGAGTGAAGTAATGTGTTGTTTGGAGTCTGCGCTCAACCGTTAGCCGCAAAACTGTCCAAAAGCTAAACACACGATAAGGTGTTTGAGACGAGAGAGTGCTTCAGAGCTGTGCTGTCAGTGCCGTCAGTATTGACTGCATCCACACACCGATCGGTTGCCACAACCAAACAGTGCCTCAAAGTGCAGGTCTATAGACAATCATAACACGCTTTACTCTGAGCCACGTGTATATATTTAGCTGTCATTTCAATGTATACCCAATGAAACACAACTTTCAAACTCTAACAAAGTTTTATGATTTTGTTTTTGCTCTCAATTCAAATCCCATTGAAATCAATCGTCAAATGGTTGTTGTTTTGAGTTTATGTTAAAACACTTTTTGTTTGTTTCGCTTACAAAACATTTTCACCAAAACTTCACCAAAACTATACAAATCATTGACAGCTTATAAAAGAAAGCGAAGATTTTTTCCGTCTTTTATTTTTTATTTCTCGTTACGATTTGCGGACGTTTTGTTGGCTCTCATTATAACTCATATTTAGCTTATGATTGAGTTATGAAATCAAAAAGAGGTAAATATAAGACCATTTATAGACCATTTGTATGAATACTATATTTGTTTGCGACTAACTGTCAAAAGCATTGTTTCACTTACTGTTTGTCTGCTTTTACTGTTTGTAAGTTTTTCCGCTATCTTTGTTATCACAAGAAATATGAATAAATACTTTCATATCAAGAATTGCTAGAAAAGTGTTATTTAAGTCATATTCACAGTCATATTGAATCAATTATATACTGTATATGAAGTGAATCTAGAAATTGATTTAAATGCCAATACATTGGTTACAGTTATATCATAAGTTTGACATTCAATTCAACCTTTCATACAATGTATTAACGATTGCAATATTATTGATATAAAAGATCTCTTGTAATAAACTTTATTTACTTGATTCCTGTCTCCTATTAATGAAACTAACAATCAGTCAAAACTAGCATTTGTTTTATTTACAAACTTTAAAAGTGTTGATTATTTTATATACTGTTTTATTTGTATTATTTAACTTATTATAAGTGTTAACAGTAAATATGATCCAAATATTTAGCTATATTTGAAGTTTAAACAAAAAAGTTAATGATATATTGATGAATGTAAATTGTGAATGTTGTTTAAACTAAATGTATAACTATTGTAAGAATATATCATTTTTTCTGATAAAACATACTTAATATTGAAGATTGAGTTCATTATTGCTGTTAAGTAATGATAATATGAATACAATATTTAGTTTTAAAATAAGAAATTAGATTAAAGTTATTGTTGAAAAGAAGTCCTTTTTTGTCTCTAATCTGCAGTATTTTTATCGTCGCTTCAATAATAGGCTTAGATTAGGGCTAATTGTCAGGTGTTTTCTTTGTATTTAGTGCTCATATAAATGGCAATTGAATTGAATTCAACTGTTGGTCGTCAGTATTGAAACAGACAAATGACACGAAATGAAAATATAAAATAGATGTGCAATCATATCATTTGAATGCCTACACCTGCCAGTCCTGCCACCAGCCCTGCCATCCCCTCCACAGCCCTGCCATTGCCTCCAATACTTTGAGTGGTATTTCTTGTTCCTGTTTTGATCGTCAGTGTGGAAGCACCTGGACTTATGCCAGTCCTTATCCCTCAGTCCACTCCTCTAATCACCGTTTAATCTACACTACAGTCAACTATAACTCAAACTCAATCATATGCTTCATACAAAACACATTAGACTTTCGGTTCATTTTGTTTTTAACTTTTAAAAGTCATGTTAAGAGAATATGAGACAAATTCATCGCTTAAACTGTTTATTAATTACTAATAATTTAGTGATTCTTTGCGCAAACAAAGCATTTGAATCGTATCCTCATTTTGCTTGTTATCTCCAAACGGTATATAAAGTGATAATAATTGTAATCAATTTATTCCTATACCAAAGCACTCATTTCTATACTAATAGTTGTACAGTACATGTGATGTGAAGTTTACATTCAGTCAAACATTTATACAAAGTATATAAATATTACACAAAGAGAAGCATTCAATTTAATGAACCCATTCTTCTATAATGTTTAATAATAGAGCAAAACATATAAAGTTCATATCGTTTGACAATTTACTGTTAGGTGCTTTATAGTTATCGGTCAACTTGATTGAGCTAGCTAACTTGATTCTATTCTTTGCATTTTTTCATCACTTTGTAATTTATTTGTTAATTCTTAAGTTGAATCTCAATAATAACTTGTGGTGAATGTATTGATATATGATTATTATGTTTAAAATGTACATAGTTATAGATATAGAGCCCATTTAATTAAATTATAAAGCATTTGCTATTCTTTCAGATAACACACTATTTTAAGAAATGAGCGGAATTTAGTGTTGTATTGGTTTACAGATTAGAAAATAAAGTAATATAGCATTTATTGAAAGCAGGAAGAGTTGGAGTCACAGGCAGTGAATATGTAATACTATATAGAAGTTGATAAGGTATGAGACGAGGGAAGGGAAGCATGAGTTTGTTCAGTGTGTGGGGACTAGTGTTGAGCTCAAAGTCTTGTATAATGCAGTAATAGAGCGAAGACAAGGCCGAAGGACTTTGACATAATCGACAGCAGAGCTAAAACTTTCTCTTTTTGTCGAATTGGAAGTTATCTTTGTTTCTCTATTATCGCAATGAGTTGTGTTGTGCCACACATTCAGGCCTTCAGTCACATAGATTTGCTGTCATCCCTCTCTGCAGATGATATCTCATGTGCGCTATTATACAGCATTGCAATGGCAACTGTTCTCAAGGATTTGCAATAACGCCATATATTACTAAAAACGCCAAATTATCACAACTATCTCATTGTATGCCTCTATAAAAGTCAGTCATTTTCCCCTTTCATTCAGGAGTTGTGCCAATAGTTTTGCATTTTCTTCAAGACATTTAAAGTGAAAATTTTCAATTTTTGGTCATAAATAAGTCATTTGATACCCTAAAGCTCTTTACAATCATATATTTTTAGTTTTATTTAATAATAAAATAGTTTTATATCGATATAAACTTAAATTTCCTGTGTTTCCGATACCATACAAGTTGTCGATCCTGTCATTAGCCATAAAGTAATGTCCGTATATTTTATACCATATATTCTGCACACAATTTTAAGCTAACTTTTTGTAGTCAATTCTGACTGTAAGCACACATTCTTCAAGTGTCACTGAAATACTGTTTTGATTCACTATTTTTTTGATATATTTATCATTTGGTTGTCAAAGTAATTGAATTATTTTGAACCCTATTCTTATAGTAACATAAGTTAGACGTTAGTCGTTAAACGATGAGCCAAAATGAAGAGCAACTCAACGCAAACATTCATATGATGTAAACTTTTAGAAAGTTGTGATTTAAATAATTTTTGGAAGAAAGCCTTTCCTTTCAATTTTCAGTTGATTATCAGTTGTCATGTATTTCTTTGAAACGTTTGTTTATTTATGAGAATAATTGATAATTGAAAACATGTTTTGAATACAAATGAATTGAAGTGATTGAGAGTCGATTACTAGTGACCCATTTCACCACTACTTGACTCAACCAACCGGTTGTTACCACTCTTTAGGAAATGAGTGTTGAGCTATGTTTGGACCTCACCTTCACCTCACTTCACTCTAATCACGGCACAGACACAGAGGGCAATAACTTTCGCTTATATTTAGTAATAAAGTAACCTTAATGTATACTTATATGGTGTATATCTCCCACCTTTATATACTGTATAACCCATACTATAAATATATGCCATTTATATCGATATTATTCGGTTTCAATTCACAAAGAGTCAACTTTTTGCCACTTTTTGAATAAAATTGTCGTATTATTAGCAGAGCCCTAACGCTCCCATTACTTGGTATCCCCTTAAGCTTGAGTTGAAAGCATTTTGAGTATATCTATAAATAAAGTAACTGCAGATGAATGGTATGGTATGGCATGGGATGACTGGCTCTCACTTGAAGCTCCTTTAAATAACTCGTATTAAAAAGACAGTCATTTGTTCAAAGATAGACTCATTCTGTTGTTACGAATATATGTTACAAAAGCTGAGCATTGGTTTGAATATAAGTTTAAACTTTAAAGAATACAAGTCTTGTCTCCCTTTCTGTTGCTATTTTCATTCCTCACATCAACTGCTGTATAATCAGCTCTTCTTTCCCTTTCCTCCACTCATATAATGAAGAAGTAATGATTAGAAACCAATAGAATTGAACAAATAGTATAAAATCTTTTATTAGCTTTTATTAATGCAAACACACACCGTATGAGACGATTAAAAAGTTTGCTTATATTCAGTGCACATATACTTCACTACAACATTGAGAACATGAAATGTTTTGAATTCATAAATACCTTATATTTTCGGATATGAATTCAGATGCGAATTGCGTTAATATAGCCGAAAGGTTAACGAGAACTAAGTTTTTAGTTTATCTTTATATTTATTAATGTTTAACATTAAATATTTGTTAATCTCTTTGAGATTTTTAAACATTAGAATTAAGAGAAGCCGTAAATTAAGTGCAATTCGTTAACTTTGAAGGTAAACCCAATTACTAGTAGAGAGCCATTTGGATGTTAGCAGTGGGAAGACCTTCAAGAAAAAACATTTTTCGCTAAAAAGTCACAAATTTTCTTATCGTCAGAATATATCCGCATATAATATATTATAAGTGAAAAGTAATAATCAGTTCTGATATATGTTTTGGCACTGAATGTTAGTCTAAGCGAGACTTTTCAAACTCTTCCCAAAGGCTCACATCGAGTGATTCTTTGGCGCAATTCTTGGCTGTTTTGCCGATTTTCCTCATTTTTTGCAAACCAAATGTGTATAATTGTGGCGTAACTCTCACACAATCCAAGGGCACTCTGTTTCACACTAAAGCCATTGCCAGTACAGTATCCCCTCATCCCCTATCGCATCAGTGTATCTGTTAAAAGCAAATATTTCAATATCCATATAGGTTTCCTGTTCTCTGGGCCCACATTGCCATCAAATACCATATTTTTTAAATCTAATACATATGCCTTCTTTATATACCATAACTTAATACATACCGCTATTATGTATGTTATATATAATAAATTATTGGCATTGCTTTTATTTGACAAAGAAATTAATGAATTATTTAAAATTTTTATCGATATATAGGGCGAGAGATTCGCCATTCAAGCGGTCACTACAACATCAGTCAATTGAATGATATGAACGACTCTTCCAATTATGGCTTTCAGTCCTCCAATAGTGACAGCACAGGGAGGAAACGGAGGGGAAATTTACCCAAAGAATCAGTTAAAATACTTCGGATGTGGTTATATGAGCACCGATATAACGCCTACCCCTCCGATCAGGAAAAATTATATCTCTCTCAGGCGGCAAATCTCTCCATTCTTCAGGTTTTACTTTTCTGAATGAAGAAAATAATGACATATTGAATAACAATGTAAACAAATGTATGTTTAGGTTTGTAATTGGTTTATAAACGCGAGAAGAAGGATATTGCCAGACATTATCCGCAAAGAAGGCAACGATCCTCTTATGTTCACAATAACCCGCAAAAGCTCAAACAGACGTCAGAGCAATGTTACCGACTCTTGCAATGGTTCCAACTCTTCTGCATCTGAAGATGGATTTGGATATATTGTCACAACTAATAACAGGTATTTAATTGGACCGAAAAACGCGTCTAAATAAGTAAAAAAAACTGGATTTTGATGATATGATGTGTTTTGGTTCAGACACTGCACTGACGACAGTCAAAGTTCTGCTGAAAGTGAAATCGACGCTCAATCAGACAACGGAAGCACTACAAGCACTGCCATTAGTTCATATGGCAGTACCTGTAGTAGACCTCCCAGCACCTCATCATCTAGTGGTACGTCTTGGACGGGTAAGTCTTGATCTTATGTCGAGATAAGGTTGTTATGCATGACATAAACTGATGTGTGTTTGTTGTCTATTAGACTCACCGCTCAAACTAACGAAACGTTGGCGAAAGAATCACGAAGAGGACCAGATGATGGACCAGATTCGCCACCAAAGCATTGGCAGCACTCACTACTCAGGTAATAGTCGTAAGCCAAGCGCTCTGGACCTGTCCTTCAGCCCTCCCCGAAGCTCAAACACATCGATCGTCAATTGGCTCAATAACAGCGCTATCGTCAGTCAGACGTCGGCGCCAACAGTTGACACACAGATGTCTCCATTGCCATCACCAACATCTTCATCAGAAGAACCCTTCAGTTGTCTGTACCTCTTGGCCGGAGTGGCGGTCGGCGAACTCGAGCGACAGACCACAGGCAATACTATTCAGAACATCGCCCTCACAGTCAAGACATAATGGATTCGCTGTAATCGGGCTATAATTCCAATCTCTGAATTGTAGCTCAATTTTTGTTTCAAATATATTATAAGTAGAGTTTGTTAAGACATTATTTGGTAAATTTCATATATATTATAAAATTAAAATATATTCAAAAAAAATGTGCAAATTTTGTTACCAATCATATATACAATTGAAAATAATTTAGATATAAATAATTATAATAAATATAAGGCTATAATACACAGCATTCATACCCAGATCAATTCATTTTTTAACATTTACGGTTTTTGCTAAAGAATTAGTTTATATTACTTGTGATATATGAGAAAATGACAAAATTAGAGCCAAACAAAAAAACTAATAATTAGTGAATATTTAATTTCTAATAAAATGTGCAAAAATTGTTTGACTTTTTGGTTTGCAACACAAGTTTTAATGATTTATTCTCTTTAAATGATTTATATATAAGCATTTATATGATGTGTACTGTATTTCTCCTGTTTTTCCAAACACTTGTGATCATAAAAATAAAATAACGGCTGAATTAACTATAATTTGAATATAAACCGAGAAAAACAACATTTAATTGTAATAATAATGAAAATTAAAGTGTTTTTTATTTCTCCTGTTTTTCCAAACACTTGTGATCATAAAAATAAAATAACGGCTGAATTAACTATAATTTGAATATAAACCGAGAAAAACAACATTTAATTGTAATAATAATGAAAATTAAAGTGTTTTTATTAATATAATAGTGCGAACCTCAGCTATGGAGCAATGCATCCATGCATCACAACTACCGTCAAACCTCACTGTAAGAACAACTACAACAATTGTCACCCATTGCACAACAATTTGCTCCATTAGACTTCACGAAATAAACTTAAGTTCTAATTATGTCTTAAATATAAAATTAAGGTATTCTTGATATAACAAACAAGGATTACAATCAAAGTTATAGGTTAACCATTATTCAGGTGATGTGACAAGAATAGAGAAGACATTTAAAATAGCCATTTTTCTCTAATTTGATAAAATTGTTGATCAAAACATTTTTAGAATTTAAATAATAATTTTAATTATTTTGAATTGTTAAAAACTAATTTCTACTATTTCCCGAGACACTTAATGATTGTGTTTAAAAATGCAATATGGTTTTATATGATTCCATAGGATTAATGTTGTATACTGTATATGTATTGCATTTCTCCCATAGACGTGGCAGTAGCCCATTGAAATAGAATTAGTCCCATAGACATAACATTATCTTTATACAGTAGTTAACATTGTCATAGACATTGAGCATGGTATTTTGTAAAACATCTATTAATACTACCATGTTGAAATAATTCCAATGTAAGTATAGATTCTATAGTATAGAATCTATACTATAGAACAATTCACTTCATATGTGTTGCCGTGAGAGAGGTTGCTTACAAATAGTTTTAACTGTAAGTGTTTTAACTATTAAAGCATTTATAGTATTGTGGATCAGTAAACAAGAAGTGGTCATTGATTACAATCGCCACTAATTTGCCATAACTTTTAGCCTAATTATGGCATAATTTTCTTATATTAAGATAAAAAACGTATTATTTTCAAATACATTACAATTATGCAAAATGTCTTCAAAAACTTGATGTTTAAGTGCTTTTTATGAGAAAATAAATTCACAATTAAATAAAACATGACTTCACTAACAGTGCCTTATATTTAATATTAATTTCTTCCATCAATTTAATCAATCATATATTATTATAATACTTTTTATTAAAAATGTAAACTAAAAATTTTAAGTGAGTATTTAATATAAAATTTCTAATATAACAGTAAACTTACGAAACGCTGTAATTGAAATAAATATAATTGTAATTTTTACACATTTCCATTTAGACTTCAATCTTTTTTACATGAATTATAATTTTAATAAAAATTAGACATTTAATTGTTTTATAGTTTATATAAATTATAATTTCAAGACAAATAATTAAGATTAGAACAAAAATAACGACAAACTAAAACATTTAATAATTAATTAAATTAAATAACAATTATAATCGGTTAAAAATAATTTAAGTTTCATAAAAAAACAATTTGGTGTAAATATCTGTGACCTAAATGTTAGAAAAACATAAAACTTAATCAAATTTAAAAGCAATTATTAAATGTTGAAATATTAGTTATATTTTTATAAGATTGAGAAATGCGACCACTATTTAGATAAATAGACATTTTAGATAAAAATCAATACAATAAATGGCAACTGTTTTAATAGTTTATTAAATTTAAAGTTACAGTAAATCCAAGGAAACAATTTTCTTAAATAGCAATTCGATTAGTAAACATTTTATAAGTTATTTAAAAATTTTAGTGAGTTTCGTAGCGAAAAAATTTTTTAAGTTAAAATTTAAAAATATAGTTAATTCTTTTTAATTAATTAGTCAATAAATCTCCCGTTACCTAAGCAGTAAGGAATTAACTGTTGAAACTTTTTGGGCATAAATGGTTGCAATGGTTGGGGAACTCGAATGCCTTCCGGTGTTTGATGTACTTCTAGAATGACACATATGGCTCGCGTGACGGCACAGAGAGTGCCATTAAGCATATGCACGTACTCCACTTGACCCGTCATTTTCTTCGTCTGACCGAATCTGGTCTGTAGATTACGGGACTGATAGTCAGTGCAGTTGGAAACCGACACCAATTCCCGGAACGCCTGAGAGCCCGGAAACCAGGCCTCCAAGTCGTACTTCATGGCCGCCGAGTTGTTCAGAGCGCCCGACACTATACTCACGATTTGGTACGGAATGCCTAACGATTGGTAGAACTTTTCGGCGTTTTGTATCATTTCGTGGAAGTAATCCCAAGACTTGGCCGGAGAACTGATCACAAACTGTTCAATCTTCTCAAACTGATGGACCCGAAAGATGCCGCGCGTGTCTCTCCCGTGAGCGCCCACTTCCTGTCGAAAGCAAGTCGAAAGTCCCGCATATTTTATCGGCAAAATCGATGGATTCAACCATTCGTTGCGATGCAGAGCCGCGATTGGCTGCTCGGATGTGGCGATCAGATACTTGTCCTCCGAGTCTTCACTGTCTTTGTTTGATATGATTTTGTAAAGTTCGTCATCGAATTGACTCAACTGTGCGACAGAACTCATGAGACTTTTTCTCATCCAAAACGGTGTATATATGGGCTCGAAGTCGGCGTCGGATAGGAATCGGAGCGAGTATTGGATGAGCGCCTGTTGTAACCAAATGGTGGCTCCGGTCAGGAAGAAACCCCGCGAACCGGCGATGTCTGAGCCGTGTTCGGTGTCGACGCCACCAATCATTTGGATTAAGTCCACGTGAGAGTGGAGTTTGTGATCGCCTTCTAATTGGTCCGCCTTATTGTTGAACTGACCCCACGTTCTGATCACCGCATTCTCGTCCTCATCAGCACTGATGGGAACGTCCGGATGCAACAGATTTCCGATTTCACGCAATATATTATTCCTCTTGTCTTCTAATTCATTCAAAATGTCTGTCAATTTAATGATCTGTTCCTCGACTTGTTGTCGCAAATGCTTTAAGTAATCCAAAGACTGTTCGCCACTGATTTCATTCACTTTTGTTAACAATTCATTTAAATCAAAGACATCTTTAGTGGTAGGAGTCGTCGGCTGTTCTTCAGGCGATTCTTTGCTCGCATTTCTCAATAATTTCATACGATTTCCGTACTCTTTCGAGATCTGATTCTTCGCTTTATTCAATTGATCCAAATTGTGACGAGTCTTACGCCAGTTGTTGTCCAAATCAATCACTTGATCCACACTCTCTGTGTGTGCGAAACGGTTCCGAACATTTGTGCGAACCCTCTCTGGATCGCCGCCTTTGTCCTCACGAAACAGATCCAAATCCAACACCATTTCCAAGATATGCGCTCAAGATTTCCACAATTATAAGACGATTAAGTCAATTGTCCTGAAAATCAATTAACATTTCTATCATTAAATCAAATCCAAAACAACAAAATGAGTCAATCATTTTGTAAACAATACTTTTGGTCTCAAAAGTGATTAATACCTGAAATTGTAGGCAAAATATGGATAAAAACGATTAAAAGATGACTAAATGGCTGTTAATTGTACATAACTAATTGTTATACAATTGTTTACTAACGGCAAATTATACTCAATGTTTAATTACGTTTGTTACTTACGTTACTTTGGCCGCAAGTTACGTTATGAGCAGGTGGTTGAGTACAGTTTGGTGTCACACAAACACTGTTACACAACACTCACACTTCACTCCCCCTTCACTTCCCCTCCACTCCCCCTCAGCCCCACATTCACCACATTTGGCACTCATTTGCGTCACAAATAGCGTATAATTGTTGACCACATTTGACGGCAAACATAATGACTGATGGCTTGACGGGAGGGTAGATGTGATGAAGTAATGTGCAAATGAGACACCAATGACTGGCCATAACGTGATGTGTGAATAGTTTCGTACGACTACAACGTGGAGGGAGTGAAGAGAGTGTTGACTGCATTGAAACGTTTAGTTCATTGAATTGAACGCAAACACAAATTGTCGCTCAAATGGCTTTTATTGACAAAACCTGTGATCACGTGATCGCACGACGACGTCATCCGTACTCAACACTACTTGTGTGCCATTTATGTGGCATTAAAACAGAGTTCGACTGTATTTGTGAGTCGTTGAGTTGAGTGCAGTCTTTGTCGATACAATCGATTCCCTAAATGAGTAACGAATTAATTGTAAACAAAAATGTTTTGAAAGACATTTAAATGTGTATTGAAGTGAATATTGAATGAATTGATTGAACGCTTGAATACAATGTTTTGAATGTATTTAGTGTTGCATTGATTGGCATTCGTGTGAATAAGTGTTGAAACCAGTGTCGAAGTGATGGGCAATGTGTGGAGTGGGGGTCCGAATGGGCGGACGGAGGAGTCGGTGGGCGTGGGTTGGAGTGCGTACTGCTATCCGCCCAAAACGGGTCAATACTTCAGCACTCACTTCATTATGGGTGGCGAACGCTTCGAGACGTGCGCTCCCGAGGCCTACCTCTTCGGCGAGAATATGGACCT